TAGATTTAATTGTTATATTTTCAGTGTTTGATAATGGTGACTGGTTTAACCTTTGTTTAGCATGGTCATAATCTATCCAGGTTAAAGATTATTGATTTTAAAAAGAAGTATTTTTAATGATTACGGTGTAATGGATAGAACTGACGAAATGTACAGTTAACATTTAAGTACATAATTTTCAAATAAATTTAAACTAGAGTTTTTTTATGTTTGTATTATAAACCATGAATCCCAATATCAACGATATCATTTATATATCTGAAGTAACTCACTGTATAGCTTAAAATTACGAAGGGTCATAAAATTATAAACTAAGGTTTCATATGCTTTAGTTGATGAAGTTTCGACGAAGGTTCGAAAAGAGACTGAAAACCATAATAATACGAAAAATAAAAAGACAAGAGTTAATTAAATGCAATCAAGATTGATGCATGTTTTTATATTCAAAAAATAATACTACAAAATAGAATACTATGTAATCACATTGAAAATAACGAATGTTTGCATAATTACTTGATATAATTAAAACAACAATCACATTATTGTTGGAGCATCAATATAATACTTTGCGAGGAAAATAAAAAGGGGTAAGAAGACAATAAGAGTTAGAAAAGGCCATTATGTTAAAGTCAAAGTCATCATAACAGAGATGACTGTATCACTCTTCCCTTTTATATACAGTAGTCACAGCTGAAACATTTCATAAAAATCATCACTGAAAAATGGAGTAAAGCTGATGTTGGTTGCTGATTGGTTATGGTAAAGGGACTTTAATATTTACACATGTGGAAAATTTATCTCCTTCCAAACATGATCCTAGGAATTTGTTCAGAATGAATAATTTTTTAAAGATTTGATTTGTTATCAGAAAAGATTATTTACTAACTGAAAAACTTTAGAGGACAACAAATGATTGGGTAGTAGTTTCATACCATATTGAAACTGAGACATAACTGACTGGGTTGTGATGCGATAGGTCTATAAAAATAGGAGTTAATTATTCATCTCTATTATAAGTATGATTGTAATCAATAGGCTTCTTTCATCCTCAAGTTAGAATGAAGTTTCCGATAGAAATTTTAATTTCTTCAAGAAATTTATCGATTTACTACATTCAATATATAACATTTGTAAATAACGTGGTCTTCAACATACAACCGTGATGATTCTTTTGACTCTTCATGAATTATTTCTTTAAAATGATGTTTTTTCTATCCAAGCTAACAATTTACTATATCTCATTACTAGTTTAGAACTTACTTGTCGCCTATTTTTTGAGATACTACACTGGATGACCGAATTTTAGTTTTTCTATCATCAATCATAAGATCCAACAACAGATTTATACTGTTATTGACTGTATTCAGAATATCACTTATTGCATAATGTGTAGAAAAGCTATTATGAATACCGAAGCCTGTCAGATATACTGTAATCCAATTACTGGCATAATCTACAAATAGGAAAATATGGTCTGATTATGTCACTGGGCCTGAAGTACATTTATTCAAAGCTTTCAGTATTCCACTGAGCTGTTAAGGGATATCACAATCTGACAGATGACTGAGAAGAAATCAAACGATAAAGGAAGGTATCCTCGATGTAATAAAAGGTCATGATTATATTTTAATTGATGGGATATAAGGGCTAGGTCATCTGCGAAGTTCAAATCGTCCAGCTGCATCGAAGCTGTATTATGTGTTCCGTGATTCCCCCTAGATATTGACGTCTTCACAATACAGTCGACCATCAGGTGAAAGAGAAAGGGTGGGAGTAAGCAACCTTGTCTGACACCCGTCTTCACATGGAATAAGTTTGAGAGGTCTTCCGTGGACGATTTTGCAGTGTAGTTCATCAATAAGAATTCCTTATGGCATTGGTTATCCTTTCAGGTACACCTTAGTTTCGAATAAGCCTGCACAGTATCATCCTGTCAACGCTGTTGAATGTTTTCTTTTAGTCAGTGAAGTTGGTGTAGAAGGGTGAATTTCATTTAACTGATTGTTCCACAATGATCCATACTGTTGCAGTTTGATTAGTATATGATCGATCCTTCGGAATCCAGCCTACTGATCTCGAAGTTAGGGACTCCATTCTGTTTCACAGCACTTGAAGACTTTACCTGGTATTGAGACAAGAGCGATCTCTTTATAGTTATCATACTTGCTGAGATCTCTTTGCTTCATTAGCTTGGTGAGGTACGCTTCTTTCTAACCTGTTGGTAATTGTCTCCCCTCCGAAATCTCGAGAAATGGAGCGTGCAACATATTTGCAGTTACTGCTATGTTTACTTTCAGTAACTTAGCTAGAATGTTGTCTAGTCCTGCTGCTTAACCGCTGTTCGTTTGTCTGATGGCCATGCTGATCTCTTCAATTGTTGGTGGGTCAAGATTATCTGGAAGGTCTGTGGGTTCTGCTTCGATGTTGGGTGGATTCGGTGGAGTTGGTCGATTCAAGAGTTCTTCGAAGTGCTCTACCTACCTGTTTCTCCGTTCTTCCATGCCGGCAATCACTTTGCCTGCCTTACTTTTCGTTGTTCGTTCTGTTTTATGGTATTTTCCAGCGAGCTTCTTCGTTCTATCATAAAACTGTCTCATGTTTCCTTCACTTAAATCTTTTTTCTGCTGTCGTTGTTAGATCTTCCACATATTTACTTTTGTCAGCTTTGATGCTCTTCATCAATCACTTGTTTGCATCTTGTATTCAGCTTATGCCTTGGTTTTCTGTGCTCTTGTTCAGCTGAAATTGATTGCCTTCCTGTTCGTTCCGTCTTGAATCTCATCCAGAGTATCCACAGAGATCGTTTCTTTGTGATGGTGTTTCTTGTGGCCCAGAACCTCATGACATGTTGAAGTGATTGCTTCCTCGATCCTTTTCCCGTTTTTCTCACGTCCTCGATGGTCTTTCTGAACTTTTAATTGATGGTTCCGTATGATGTGACCCGGTGAAACCTATTTCGCTTTGTGAGTGCGTTTGTTTTGGAATAGGGTGCCGTTCATGACCAGTTGGTTGAAGGGACATAGGTTTGCAAATGTCTCACCATTTTTGTTTCTTTCTTCCAGTCCATTTTGTCGGATGTCTTTGTATCCACTGTTGTTCATTCCAAACTTATTATTTAGGTCTCCCATCACAATGGTCAAATCCTTTGATGAGCATCTCTCAACGATTGACAGTGACCTCTCGTAGTGTTGTTCTTTAACGTTTTCATTGTGGTTATTGGTAAGCGCATAGCATTAGATGACGTTCATCGTAATGCCTTCTTTCTTTTTTTGGAGAATGCTTTGATGATCCTGGGTCCATGAGATTCCCATCCTATCAGTGTCTTTTGTGTTTGTTTGGACAGCATTAGCGAAACTCCTTGTGTGTGTGAGGCATTTTCTTCTTCATGACCAGAGTATAACAGCAGTTCACCTGGAGCCAATCTTAGTTGTCCAACCTGCGTTTAATGTGTTTCATTGATTCCAAGCACCTCTAGGTTGTATCTTTTCATCTATGCAGCAATTTGGAACAGTCTTTCGGTCTCCTACACTGTTCAAACATTCCATGTACCTATATTACTGGTTGCTCTGTTTGTGATTAGGGGCATCGGCCTCATGACTTCCGAAGGAACTCGGCTTTCATCATGAGACATCACAACTCTTGTGAAAGAAGATCTTGCAACACCCAGGAGAGATTTTTTCTCGTTAGCGTTTTTTAGCGAGTTAGTTTTCTACGGAATAGGATTGCTAACCTCATGCCCGACCGTCCTCCATTATCCGGGCTTGGTATCAGCAGTAACCCCAGAACGGCTCCAGGGGGAGTTTTGAACTGATAATAAACACTGAATCAGTTTCTACATAATGTTTAGTTGCAGCACCAACTACAACCAGACTGCTAACGTAATTCTGTCAAATACTGATTCTTGGAAATGATTTGATAATTGTCAGACAATCAGCTTTTAGCATTCAGCATAAATATCTTGATTTCTGTAAAATCTATATAAAAATAAATTTATAAGCAAATTTCCGAACTGAAAAAAAATTGTGTAGCCACAAGATTATTTTAGGCTGCTTTTCTTGTTTAATTCTTTGAACGATGGAAAGCAAGAAGGTAATTTCTCGTTTAATTTATTTTTTTGTGTGTGTAAAGTATTCAGTGAACTTTAAATATACTACACAAAAATGCGCTCAAATATTATAGTTAGTTACTGAATAGATTTTCTGATGTATAATCTAAACATTGTAGAAGCTTTCATCATAATATTCTCTAGCTTATGTATATTGGCTAACAAGAGAGAACACAAATGGTTTTCTGTTTAATTTCGAGATTAATGATCTGAACACCGACTGAACATTTTCATTGGGAAATTTCAAAATTCTAAGGTTTGATGTGATGCATACTTCTACAATTAATCTTTATTTCAATTAATGAAGCAGTCAGAAGATGCCATATCATTGAATACAATCAGCCTAGTATTAGTATCGAATAATTTCAAGTATTTTATAAAATAATATGAATTTGAAATGAAAATTAATTTTGTAATAATTAAACCATGAAATTAGTAAGAACAGGTTCATTTCAGGACTGAAATATACCCAATAATGCAGACACTTCTGAATGATAATACTTATTCATGCTGAGGTCGTACGCCTGAAAATATCCAGTTTCTAGCTTAAGATCTTTTGATGGAAAGATTTGTGAGTTGTGCCATGATGCTTGATTTGTCGAACCGTTCATTTTTCGACTACTTTGTGATAGTACGCTTGTTTTGGTTCTAATGAACAATGATCGTGTTATTTGCATAACACTTCCGATGTTGACAGTGTTTTGCATCAACTAAATCAACTGTTTTAAGATTTACCACCAGACCTAGAAAAGTCACTGGTTGTTTTCTGGATAATTAAAACTTCTGTAATCATTAAACTTTACTAATTGATTTATAATCACATTAGTCCTACCAAAACACGACAATTTACAATGTCTCGAGCCTACAACTGATCAGATAGAACATAAGCCTGCCACAGGTATATCACATATAATGCAGTACAAATAATCGTATACAGAATAGAATTATCATAAAGATAACTGCTTAAATTTAAAAAATTATTTAAGAAATAATTTAAAACACATCATTTATTCAACAAATGAACAGAATAAGCAGGATGCGATACAGAATTCCTGTGGAAGAACCCCACAGTCTATTGATTACTAAAACTGTTAATAAATGTAAATCAATCAATATTCTTTGTCCGAATTAACTTTTTTTTGGAAAATATCATGAACGGAATGATAATAGGAACAGTTTATGAAAAGTAAAACTTTTACAAAATCATTTTAAGATTTCATAGTTCGAAAATGAATCGAAACAATTTCAACTTAAAATTCGAATAAAAATTAAAAAAAATGTATTCAATATTGTTGAAGTTGAACAAATACAAATTATTTATACATTTTGTTTTAAATTTACTGATTGAGACCAATGATGTCGTTTATGTCTGTCTAAATTGGTTCTTTGAGCAAATGCTCTTGTACATATTGTACAAATAAATGGACGTTCACGTTGATGTATATTTCTTATATGACGTTGCATATTAGATGATATACTAAAACCTCTTTGACAATATTGACAACGATAAGGTTTTTCACCGGTATGAGTACGTAGATGTCGATTTAAATTAGCGGAACGTGGAAATTCTTTCCTACAATGTGGACATTGATAACGATACACTGAAGTTATATTCATGTTATTAGTTTTGATACAACTATTATTATTATTACTGTTATTATGATTCATTTGTAATTTACAATTGATACGATTATTCACTGATTGTTGTGAATTACGATGACAATAATAAAGATGTCGATGATATTGTAATGGATTTGAGGATAATGAAGATTTAGTAGAATGTGATAATTTAAATTTATTCATTAATTTTGAATTTATTTTATCATTTGTTAATTTATTATTATTATTATTATTATTATTATTATTAATATGAAGTTGTTGTGATGTGATATTTGATTGATTTTGATAAACTATCCATTTCTCTGGATCAGTTGATAATTTATCTTAAAGAAAATGAAAGTATAATGAATAAAAAAAACATTTAATTAGTAGTAATAATAAATTTTATAAAATAATATAAGAAATAGTGTGAATTATTGATTGTATGAATAAATCAATGTTATTATTGCTGAACTCACAATTGCATTGAATAAATAAATCCCTATATACTAAGTTTTGTTGTCAAAACAAGAAATGAAGAGTTCTCTATTTTTGGTCAAATTTATTCTTAAAGCTGTACAATCACGTTAATGTACTTTTTTTACAACGATAATAATAATATGCTTGCTTAAAAAACAATAATTTAATGAATATTTTAACGAAATCGTGCAAAAATGTCATTTTTAATTAGAACACCTTAAAATATCTTTGGTAAGAGTCTGAAAATATTCCTTTATGAATGTTATAGACATTCGATGAAGGATGATAATTGCATGAAGGATTGTGTAACACAATAAGATAAAATGTTGAAATTCACATGATATTTATTCAGAGAGGGTATGGACCTAAATTAAGTCAGTATGAGGTAGAAGGTCAACAACGAAGGAGACTGACGGGAAGGTAATAACTTTGGGAAACTAAGGATGAAGACTGTGATAGAAGAAGGGACTAACTTCTCTACAGTGTTATGACTTTTATAAATGCACTGTAAGAACTTCAACAATGCTAAGAAGACAGAAGCTCATTGTCTTAGGTTACTATTTGCCTTGCAGATTATTTTGAACGCCAAGTTCGTTTCGATCCATTAGTCTGTATTCACAAAATGTTCTGCCATGAAGTTCCTAATGGATGTATTTTCGTCATTTTTCAATCATGTAAAATAATATTATTAAATTTTCTTGGATATAACCCCCATAGAATGGCTAACACACTTAGCTTCATACGAACAAGTGAATCGATGACTGAACATAGAAGTTTTGTGCTGCGAAAGTGATTGTTTTACATTGGTTGATTAAAGGATATCAGCATTATGTTTGCTGTAAGCAATTTCGTTTTGAAGGAGTTCCAAATTTTCCTTCTCAGGATGCTTACAGCCCTGTCACCTTTATAATTTGATTACGCATAAAATATTTTTTTTAGCATGGAGGTTATCGATACTTTTGAGCTCAATATTGTTGTCGGAAAATCACGATAGGGTTAATTTTCTTTGTTCATGATATCCAAACTGCGAATCCGAAAGATTTACATGAAGAAATGTATAATTACATCCCTTTTCTTTGTGAGCGAAACTTAATAGCTAACTGTCCTTTTAGGGTTTTCTGTAAACAAACCATCATAGGTTTCCATGAAGTCTTCTTATCAAATCAACATAGAGAAAGTGGATAATCAGTCTGTTTCGCACCGACTATTATTACCACATTAGGGTTGTTGAAAGTAGTGATAATATTTTTCAAATCATATATATTACCGTAACTGATATATACAGGTAGAAGTTGTCGATAGTTGTCTTTAATTAATTATTTCCCAAACTAACTGGTCATGATGATACAATCTCCTGGCAATGGACCAAGAAGAAATTCCACAGTTATACTATCTTCCTATTTGTAAATTATGTCACTTAATTTAAATAGACAGAAATAATAGTTCCTTCATATAGGACGTTAATATTCCAGTACTGATTACATTACGATTGACATATTTACAGATAAAGAAAATATTCTATTCAAGTGGTGTATTTCATTTATTTAAATAACTGAGTCGTATTTATCATCATATTACCGAACACTTGAAGCATGAGATGATTTAACCAACTTAAAATTCATGTGGCCAAAAGTAAGAAACCTCTAAATAAGTATTCAGTTGTTCATAAACAAATCAAGCTAGAGATTTATGTAGTTACATGTAGAAAATATACTAACTGACATAAGAGTCCTTTTTAAGTTTAATTGAAATAACATGTTACAGCCATAGTTTAAACGAGAAATTTGTTTCTTCCACTGGCGTTCGAATTCTTTTTGGACCGAAAATAATGAATTTCCTTAAAGTTACTTTCAGGCGTTCGAATCTGTTAACTACATATCATATATCATTTGTAAGCATAAGCCTTCAGCAGTAAACAATTGTTAATGAAATTGATTTAATGGAAGGAATACAGACCATAAGGTGAGCTTTATGCTGCCTTAGGCTTCAAATTATTTTATCTGATTGTTATGTTGGCAGTTTTCAGGATTTGATCGATTTGAAGTAGACATTTATTATTTACACTAGTTCATCTGAAGAATCAATAAAACCAAGGTACTAATCGATATTTATTTCAATTTCATCGTTACTTCACACTATTAAAACGAAAGCATCTATTTGCGGTCAAACTATATTACGTTGACGTTACTTTTATTTTTAAGCAGTTCAGATAATTTCGGACGTAGTACAGTTAAATCACAGAGGATATGAAAAAAAACACATTGTTAATAATTTCTTGAAGTAAACAATAAATAACTCTACAAAGTACACTTTGAATGTTTGTCATTAATAGAAACTGCCAAAGGTTAATGATCAAAATTACATTCTAGATTTTTTAAGTTAAAATATAGAATTATTTCAATAACTGTATAATTTTTTTTAAAAAGAATTTACTAATTTTGAATTTATCAACTATTTTTATGATTTTTTTTGTTTTTGGTTTGAGGTTGATTCTATTGATAATAGTAGACTTCTTCTTCTGATGAAGTTCAAACTTGTTTATATTTTACAATATTATAACTGAGATATACTAGAATTCAGATTTATAAAGAATAACATATGAAATTTCATAAATCTTATAAACCAGGGGTTAGTGAATATTCATATAGATTTAAAAAACATCGAATTACTGTACTAGATTAGTTCTCTTTAATTTAAATGAATTTTCATTTAGAATTTAGGTATCACTTTTTCACAAAAGAAAAAGATATGAGTTATATGATAGAATAAATAACAAATAGTAGTAAGTTTCACATCGATGATACTGATCAATGTTTACACTACAATGAGGTCAATTATGAATTACAGTGAACCAGTCAGAAGCGGCCTAATGTGAATGCCATTTGATGACCATCAGAAATAGCCTAAAGAATGAATGTATATCATTGATCTAGAAATAGGTTCATTTTCTGGAGATATAGATCAGTACTTGTACATATTATTCAGTGGTCAAATAGACTTACTATTCCATTCTTGGCTTCTCGTTCAATTAGTTAGTTTTAGGAATTAACATCTACCACGTTCAGATCTCAGACACAGCCCATCATAACATAGATCACTGGGTTTCTGATCAAATGCTTGAATTTTTACTTGGTAACAGTCAAACCATAATGTCCTCCAAACAAGTGAACCACTGGATTCCTGCCCAAAGGTTTAACAATAACTGTAAAATCTAGGTGTCCCAGGTCCGATCCCCTGTAGGGTCTTGGTTGTTGAGTCCTAAAGACACTCATGCAAAGAAAAAATGACTGTCCAGTACTTTTTAGCTTTCAACGGTTATCTCTTCAGCCAGTCTGTACTATGAACTACATAATGTTCCCCAGTCCTACTTGATATAAGATTAAGTTTGAGCATTGCTGAGTAGTGCCACTCCAATATTAAACATTTGCTTCGTGTCCTCTACCACTCAAGAGCTAGTTCGTTAACAATACTCAACTAGTAATGAAAATTGTGTTCAAAGTGAACATTTTTCTGCATCGAAATTGTTTGACTAATTTAGGAAAATTTTCTGATATCATTATACCACACCAGACTGTGAAAGTTTATCATCAGATAGTGCAATGACTTGCTCTATGAAATGTATTTAAGTCAGTCAACGAAGGGCATAATATGCCTGCATATTTAAATCCGGTTCATAATTATCAAATCGACAAATAATATTTTATAATATTAGCTGTATATCAATGCAATTTATGTGTAATACACTAGTTTAGATCCTAAATAATACTTCTAAACATATCATTTGCTAACTTGTATATAAAAGGAAAATAATCAATAAATGATGATTATTATTTCGTTACGGGGTTGTGAAGATTGCTAAGTTACCCATTTTTGAAACCATGAATCGATCAATGTTAGATCACCATTAGAAACGTGGAAGCACTTGACGGCCGTTTCGTCCTGGTATGGGACTCTTCAGCACTGCGCATCCACGCATCCACGCGCATTGATCGATGAATGGTTTCAAAAAAAATTATTATTTCAACAAATAGGTCGTTTATGAGCTGAAAATAGGGAAATAATAATGACGTCATGTTTGCTTGATTCTAGCAACCAAGCTATGAATCCTATGAAGAGCATTATTTCTTTCAGAATTACAGATAAAGTTTGCTGGAATATATCAATTATCATGAAACCTGGGTACATGATTTTAAAATGATCATCTCCAGTCATCTAACACAAGAATATGTGTCAATGAAAATACAATTAAGGCTTTATATTAAAATATTCACCTTGGTCTGATTCAAAATTAGAGATATTTTCCTCATTTTTCATGATATATGATGCAGTCTCACATGTATCCACTTTTAAGCTATCAATTGAATTGTTAACTTTTTGTGCGCGTTCCTCTTTCTCCAAGTGTAAATCGGATGAAATTATGCCAACCTCATATTCCTTATCTAATTCATATTTCTCTTCTTTAATCCATTTTAAATCTGGATGATTTTGATGATAAATATACTGTTCAACTTGTTGTCGTTGTTTTATCTGTTGTTTCAAAAGTAATTGATATAAAGTATACATAAATTGATTATACCAAGTGATAAAATTCATTGGTAATTGAAATGATGCTGAAGATTGTTGACTTGTTGAATTCATATTAGACAGTTTTATACATGGTTTAAATAATGAACATGAACTAGTTGTATTGTTTTGTTGATAACATGAACATGAAGAAGAAGAAGAAGAAGAAGAATGATGATGATCATGATCATGGTGTTGTTGTTCATGCTGTTGTTGATAAGTAGGAAGTAGTAGATTCGATGTAGAAAGAATTCGATAAAGATTATATGGCAAATTTGATAGAAAATTTGTTTTATTCAATTGTAATTCATTAGTAATCAAATTTTTAACGTTGAACAATTGTTTTTGTTGATTCGCATTGAATTTATAATAATTATATTTTGATAATTTTTGAATATTCTTTAACAACATGGTGGCAGGATTTTTTGAATTGTTCATAGAACCATTGTCGGAAGTGGTGATTGTATGCATTGATTTTTCAAATGATACTGACGATGTCGTGGCAGTGGAAGTAGTCAAATCAGAAGTAGAACTTGTTAAAGAACACGATGAAACAAAATGATCATTGAATAAGGCATCGATTTGTTGTTGGTTATTCATTTCCGTGAGATTATTTAATAATTCTGAATTTGATATACTACACCGACAATTATCATGTTTCATATGTGTGGAAAATAACGAGCAAACAGAAGAAGTCGATGAGACTGTTGTTGTTGTTGTTGTTAGCCAAGTATCAGAGATGTTGTTTTTATGCATTCTCAAATCAAGAATTTCATCAAAATCATAATGCTTACTTTGTAACCCATGATTGACATAACATGATGATGAGGATGATGAGGATGAGGATGAGGATGATGATGATGATATTGATCTGTTAATTGACTGATATTCTAACAATGCGTCTTTATTAATGAGATGACCATTATCTTCATGATTGTTATTTTCCTGATTTTCATCAAACTTCCTTGGAAGATTGAAGAGGGTAAAATTCTGATCATTCATAATGCTAGCAAAGAACAACAATCCGATAAACTAATGTTTAAATTATTCATTGTAAATTGTATTCAGATTTGTAATAGTGATAAAATGTGACGGTAAAAGCCTCTGGCATAGATTTACCTGTTTATACAAATTAGAAGAAAAGAATAATATGATGCTTATCTCTATAAGATTTAATTAATCAAGATCAAATCACTTATTAGTACAGTGGTTTAGTAGCGTTTCTAATACATTTTAGTAATCTATTACATCTTACGTCATTGATATATAATGTGCTATTTGTCACTTACAAGTGTTAGAACTGTAAACAAAGTTTCAATTGAAGTTATATGATCATTGATCAATATCATCTGTTTAAATTCAGTAAAAAGGGATATAAAAATTATATACAAATCCAACCGCCATTCATTCCCCTTGTGATCATCTTCATCAATAGTAGCAATGTCATAAATATCATCATCATCCAAAAATGATTCCAATCAACTACTATGAGTATCATTACAATTTTAGTAAATCCAATTCATAAAAATTGTAATTTGATTCTCAAACATGTGTGCATATATATAACAAAAATAAAATTAAGAAATAAGGTTTTTCTATTCAGAATCAAATTACCTATTACCAAATAGACATACTTGATGTATATCTCATCATTTGTAAAGTAGTTAGTATACGTAACAATTGTTATGAAGAAATATGTACGCAAAATGACAATGTAGAACCTAACAATAGTATATATATATATATATATATATATATATATATTGTTATGGTAATTTGTTTTTTTTCAGAGAAAGTATCCGTAATTGTATCATTTCTCTTACCCATCATATAACCAGAGCACATATGCATAACATATTTGAAGATTTATTTCAATCAAATGAACCGATAATTGACTTAAGGATCTGTTTAAATTTCACATGTAAATAAACTACTAGTCACAAGATAGGTATGTTTTATGTGGTGAAAATACATTAAAAATCAAAATTGAATGGAATGACATAAAAATTATTGATCAAGTCTTATAACATTTCATACTGGCCGTCTTGTTAACAGCAAGGATGGAATTATTTATCTCTAATTTATCTAGCCAGCGCAAACCCAGAGATTTTAGGTTCCGTCTCTATGAGGATCAAAAGTAACAATACACGACAGCAGACTGAAAGCTCACTTGGTATTTCATGAACATATTTTTTTTAAATCAAAGTAAGTTCCAATAGATCAATGAGAAGAAGGATTAGTCTGGCAAATGTAATGTATTTGCACTATATATTTCAAACAATCTGGTCACTCATTTGGTTGTCAAAGTATATGGCTTTATCAAAATTTATAAAAATAGGACCATGTGCTTTAAAATATGTTCAAACAACTTTGTATCCCTTATTTTAACGTTTTCAATCTTCATATAATCAAATACAGAGAACAACAATAAAAAGTTATTAATTTTAGATAGCAGTGTAGCGATTAATATCAAAGATGGAGGAATACTGTCACTTTGTATGAGATTTTCTAGGGAAATCTTTAACTAATAAATTACCAATTATTGTTGCACTTGTCATACTTTAACAGTTGAGTTCTTAGTAAAACATTTATAATTAGGCAAACATGAATTCTGAATTCACTCCAAATGATTTCGTCACTAACTATAAGCATTTGCTGTCATTTTTGAGTTTACAGGCTCTTCGAAATATTGAGAATTATCAGTTTTATTCATTGAACTCATTAGTTTCTAAATACTATGTTCTTCAGTTACATTTTGCTTTGTTCACGGTTTTAAACAAATTTGATCAGCATTTTATACATCTAATTACTGTACAATAAATTATTCTAGTTAGTATAAATAGTTCAAGTTGGTTTGTCAATATTTCATTTGTATACCAGCAAACCAAGCGTACTGTACATAATAATATGGATTTTTATTTCCTTTTGAAAATTAATCTCTTGTTGATTTAATGGTTTCGTCTGGTTGAGTTGTAAATAGATATTCTCCTGATCGAAACCAATAGGTGTTGATTGGTAAATGGAAGAGTTCTGCTAAGTTATTTTGAACGTTAAAACAGGGCTAAGAAGTCCTGTGAAATCATTCATATGGGAAAAATGCAAAAGAGTGTTGAACAGTAGGATATTCCCTTAATTAAAAGTAATTTATTGAAATCATGAACTAATCAATATTCAACCACTACTGAGAACCTGGAATCACTGGATGGCCGTTTCATCCTATTCTGGAGCCCAACAAAACTCAGCAATCTCCACAGCCGTACAGTGATGTCACACTAAATAAAACTATTTTAGGTCCTATATTTTAGAAAAGATAAACTACTAATATTTCCTACGTGAATAACATGAAGGATAAATGAAATTTTTTTATTAAATGACTAGTATTGAGAGTTTCTAATGAAAAATGGGTTTAATGTATTCAAAGCAAAATATTGACAATCATTCGAAATTGATCTCCTGGTTCAAACTCCGAAATTGATGTGTTATTTTTTAAACTCGAGACTTCCAGAATGGGATTCGTCAGTTGTTAAACACTACTTATTTGCCATTATTATTTATTTTTGACTGACATAAATATCTGGTGTGAATTAAGTTGAAACTCACTGAAAGATCTCTTAGACACAGTTATAATTAAAACTTTTAAAAATGCATATATGATAAGATTCTATATTTCAAAGTCTGCTAATATCTTCAATGTATAAACATAGACAAGTGTAAACGTATTTCATTCAATCAACCATTTTAAAAATTAGAAAAAAAATGAGTTAAGCATAAAACTATTCACCTACTTTAAACTTCTGCTTATTTAAAAAGATAGATATGTTGATTAGTATAATGATCATCTAAATGAAATCTAACATAATGACCTGACTTGTTTGGGTTGCTCAAATAATGATGATAAATTATAGTTGTAATCTTTTTCATCTGATACTTTTTTCATCTTTATTCATTAATTTCAATAATATAATAATTAAAGATATTTTTGACAAAAGTAATAACATTTGTATCTTAATGATAAAATTCAATTATTTTTAGATTTGTTATAAATAAAAAATAGATTTATACTAATTAGTTGAGAACATTCTTCTTCTTCTGTTAAATCTTTGAAAGCAACGCATGAAATTATGGGATTAAAACTTATTTTTGTTTTAAGTATATCATAGATAGACATCTGCAAACAAGTCTAAATTAATCTTTAATTAGAGTCGAACTCTGATCAGTCTAGGGATTTTGCGCGATCTCGTCCATTTGTCTTCGGTAGTCACTGCCTACACTTGACATTAACACCAGCTGATACCGGTCCAGATGTCCAGAGGTTAAATGTCCACTCACAGGACCGAATGTCCTGGGTTCGTTTCCTGCGAGTAGCAGGAGTCGTGAATGCGCTCTGGTGATGAGTCCCAAACCAGGACGAAACGGCCGTCCAGTTCTTCCAGGTTTCTATTGGTGGTCTAACAATGACTGATTCGTGATTTCTCTAAATCAACCATCAATTATATTCAGGATTATAAATGATCATAGATCTATGAAACATTACGAGGTATTAGTCATAAATGAAAGGAATAAATCATGGTGAAATTTGAATAATATGGAATTGTAAATTAGATTTAAAAATCTACCAGTTCCTCGAATTCTCCCAACTCAGTGATTCTATTAACAATAAAAGTTTGTTAGAAGCCCAAATAGATAATCTGACATCATAGTCTCATATTCCTCCGACATTATTAATAATCATGTTCTTACCAGTGACAAACTACAATAAGTAACTATTGAACTTCTCGTGAGTGTGTAATGTCTGCTGTGACTCATTTACTCACCAGTGGCATCTAATGACGATTAGGTAATATCATATGTTAAGCATGGCTGAAAAAGTTAACCAGTAGATACTAGCTCAGCGGTCAGAGGGTTAAATGCTAACCGTGAAGCCATCGAAATCTCGTTCTTAGACTCGGGCTATTAATGATTCTTGAAGTAGGAGTAAAAACTATCCTGTGCTTCATGGTTTTCAAGAGTCGATTCGTGATATAAATATGTTTTCCCTTAATTGATGAATTTAGAAATATTTAGAAGCTGAGGAGAGAAGTTTTACTATAGTCAAACGTGTGTTCTTGTGGTTTCTAACAGGAGTAATATTATTTTATATTTGATAAAGAGACTGCCAAAACCTCTGGACTACTCTGTTAATTATTAAACTTTATTCTGTGAGAAACACATAGTTGTAATCAATCAAAGTTCAGTGAAAATATCAGTGATGGGATAATCTAATCCATTTCAAATATAATTAAAACCCATACGCGTCTCACAAGTGAGTAGCTCTCCAAACTTAGTAGTATAGCAGATAACAAGATGGTGTTTGAAGTAAATGGCACTGGGTTCAATTATCAGAGTGAACATCAACTCTGAGAAGCAAACACTTTTGACTAACAAATCCTAAATAGAAGGAAATGTGCGTACTGGATTTTAGCCTTAGCCAAATTTCATCTGTTTTATACTAACTTATGTCATAGCTGGCTATATCAAAGTAATTCTCGGAGGATGCACATACACCATGCAAGACTGATGCAAATACTTACTGAATATCAACAATGGGATAATCCAATTCATTGCAACTTGAGTTATGAATGCCTTCAAACCACACTGTGTACATTTATGCCTATGTATTGAAATTCTCAGATATCCTGTGTTGTAAGGAAACTAAAAAACTAACATAAAATGAAGAAATTCGTGCTAGTATGGTATAAAAATTAATTCGCCTACTAATCATGATTGAATGAAAATTCCTTATAATTAGATGATTTATAATTGTTTGATCACTGAGTAGTGGCAAATGTTATATTTGTCTAGTTTCTTCGTGCCTACCGAAATCTAATATGTCCACTTTCTTGAGCGACTTGATATCACGCACTCTTGTTGAGATGTTAAGGTTTCCTGTAGACAAACACCAACCACCGTAAAATCTGATGATTCTAAGTACGATTATTTATATGATTATCGTTTGTTATCGGTAGTTTTTAGATTTCAGACTAATCAATTAAGTTAATGTTTTTAACCTGCAGCAATTTACCC